TTTTGAATTGCACAAAATCTCAAGATGATGCTGAAATTTTGAATGTACCAACACACACACACACACACATATATATATATATATATATAATCACTTCCCGAGGGTCAGTACTCTCACATACTTCCTAATTAGTGAGATGTAGAAAATAGCATGTTAGCTTCTCAGGCAATCTCTAGAGTAGGGATCTTAGCTTGCAGAAAATAGTATAACCAGGCTTGGGGTCAACCTGGGCTTTGGTTATGCATATGGCAGACTGGCCAAAACACCCAACCTTGTATTTCTCCCTGCTGAGCACTAAACCATTTGTTAAACATTCCATTCACTTTCAAGCTTGTTTTACTTACATCACATACGCACATACTGCATTCAGTAACCAGCCTTCAACTTCATTGTTGTGCAAAGCATTCATTCAATGTATACTTTCTCTAAACCAAGTACAATGAGCTTTCCCACTTTTGCATGCTTCTCAATGACTCTGACTTGCTCAAAAGTGTTAAAAACCTTGAATGACCAAAGCCATCAGGTGTAACTGAGGTCAGTATCTACTGGCCCACCTGGTGATGACCATGTTTTAGTTCGTTTTTTATATGGTATTATATGCTTTTTATATGTTTAGGATTGTACTTTGTTCTTTTTGTATTTTTTTAAATTGTTGTAAGCCACCCAGAGTCATGCATTTGAGATGGGTGGCTATATAAATCAAATAATAATATATACATACAGATGAAAAATTGCAACTTGGAATGTCAGGGGAAATGGTAAAATCATGAATTAAAGTAGAGAAACATATAGTGAGTGGTAGTATAAACTATATTTAGCTCCATTTCCCTGCCATGAACATTCTACCATATATGGTAGACATGCAAAACTACCCAAAAGTATTGGAAGTATTGGACTCCACAGTATTGGAAAAATGCATCAGAGAATTTTAGGGAATAGACTCAAAATGAAATCACACATTTTTTTACTAGGTATAATTCCAGAACATATCAATAAAAACACTCCATAATTTATTAAGATACATATTTATGTCTGTGAGGACAAACTTTGCACAATACTGGAAAACTCTAACCCTTTTTTTTCTCTTTTAACAAATATAAATAATACGTATAGAAGAGATTTTGGCATTAAAAATGCATATTTTTTCTTATATCATAAAAACAACTTAATGTATTTTGCTTGGCATGCTTCATCTTTTATTAATTGAGCATTAATTGTATAACTTTAGTAATTTTCTAT